CCGCAACCTTTGGGTTACGAGTCCGAATCTCTAACCATTAGGCCACGACTTCCCCCCAAGTAGTAGGATGATTAGTAAGGATGAGTTTGAGTTTACAAACATTATAATAAACACTGTAAACATAGCTAGGCTATTTTAGTTCTCCTCACTCCACAACAAATCCTTTCAATTTAACAGTAGCCTATTTAGAAAAGAACAAGAATTAAAAATATAAGAAGCTCTGCATTGTCAAGGTAGCAATGCTTAACTGTGCGCGCGCATGTGGCGCCGGCGCAATCACTTGAATTTTTTTCCTTCTAACAGTGGAAGCAACTACTACTTTTAGTCATAAAGATAATCGGAATTGTAAAAGGTTTGCTTTTATTTGTGTATATTCACAATAAAAACAAATATTTTTGCTTTTGTAAAATAGGCCTAAAGAAAAATAGGATGCCGCTTTCTGCCGTCTTGGTCTCCTTTCGCGCAGCACAAAAACTAACCGAAACTCTGCATACTACTTGTTGCACAGTTTTTTCTTTCGTTTTCTTAATTTATTATTTAAGTAAAAATATATTTCTCGTATAGGCCTATTTATGAGTTTTTTTTCGCATTTCTCACCTGCTTTCTTGCCCTTACAGTTAAATAAGTTGTTTGCTTCTGTACATTGTAGATTTTTTTTATGTAAATTGTGGCTGGCTTACATTTGTTTGTAAAATGGGATGGAACTTTGTTTTGTGAATGTTTAAGTACAGTCAAACCAAAATTTATTCAGACACCTTCAATATTTCTCACATTATCACAGTTTATTCGCTATAGTTTAGAAAATGGTAATAAAATTATATGTTTGACTGACTGTATTTTATTATGATAATGAACAGGCTGCATTGTCAAGGTAGCAATGCTTAACTGTGCGCGCGCATGTGGCGCCGGCGCAATCACTTGAATTTTTTTCCTTCTAACAGTGGAAGCAACTACTACTTTTAGTCATAAAGATAATCGGAATTGTAAAAGGTTTGCTTTTATTTGTGTATATTCACAATAAAAACAAATATTTTTGCTTTTGTAAAATAGGCCTAAAGAAAAATAGGATGCCGCTTTCTGCCGTCTTGGTCTCCTTTCGCGCAGCACAAAAACTAACCGAAACTCTGCATACTACTTGTTGCACAGTTTTTTCTTTCGTTTTCTTAATTTATTATTTAAGTAAAAATATATTTCTCGTATAGGCCTATTTATGAGTTTTTTTTCGCATTTCTCACCTGCTTTCTTGCCCTTACAGTTAAATAAGTTGTTTGCTTCTGTACATTGTAGATTTTTTTTATGTAAATTGTGGCTGGCTTACATTTGTTTGTAAAATGGGATGGAACTTTGTTTTGTGAATGTTTAAGTACAGTCAAACCAAAATTTATTCAGACACCTTCAATATTTCTCACATTATCACAGTTTATTCACTATAGTTTATAAAATGGTAATAAAATATGACACGAACTATTTTAAGAATAGTTAAACTGTGTCAGAACAAATTCATCTTGATAATGTTAGATAACTTTGATATAAAGGTATGTAATGAATAGCTGTCAGCTGTTAAATTTAAGTACACAATTAGATAATACCAATTTAGGTCAACCAATTACCAAGCAATGCTTAATTTTGTTCAGTCTGTGGTCTAAAAAGGTCAAATTAGCAATTAAAGAAAAACAATTAAGCAAAACATGGTCAGGTCAAAGTGTCTGAATAAGTTTTGGTACCAAATTTGTATCAATTTTATTGGTAGTCCACTGTATGAAGGATTTTTGGGTATAATATAGTCTTTTGGATTTTTGGGTATATTATTATAATATAATAATAGTCACACTTTACTTTTATTTTGCTATCCTCACTTAAATTAATGATCTATAGTGTCCTGCACCCACTAGTAAAAAGATATCAAAAATTATATCTGGTGTCTGAATAATTTTTGGTTTGACTGCACATCTACATTGTACATCAAAATTTTTGATTTCCAAGACCCAGGGAAATCCTTCACTCCATGATATATCCCCTTTTAAATTTCAGGCAAACTGAAGAAGTTCTGTAACTCCATCTCTGTGGGGGCATTTTTGGATGAGGGTGACGATATCAGCCTGGAGGAGATCAAGAACAGGCAGAACGCTGCCCTCACCTGTATTTCTTCTGTGTGCTCCAAAGATGGCCTGCAGGGGGCGGTAGGGGGGCTTGAGTTTCACATCCTACCAGTCTCGCACAGTGCTGACCTCATCGAGGTGGCGGCGGAGCAGGATCTACTGCTCTCCAGCAGTAAAAACGGCCTGAGCGAGCAGGGCCCCGGGGACAGGACTCCAAACGGGGACAAAATGTCCCCTCGCATCTGCGGTTCATCAAATTCCTGCATTTTGTCACCAATCTCAAACCTAATGGCTGAGTTTGAGAGGATGTCTCTGCTGGATGAGCCAGATAGGACAAACAGGGAGAGAAGAAGAAGTGGAGGGAAACGTCACAGAGACGCCCAGGCCACGGAGCTCACCTCTGGACTGGGCCGCCTCTCTTTGTCCTCGGAAGACGACTCCGTGTTTGATAAAGACATGACGTCTGCATTACGAGCAGCAGAGAATGATGGACTGGAGAGAAGAAACGACGTAGATGCGAGGTCCAGTGCAAGTTCAGATGAATACTTCCTGGCCAATGAGAGGTTAGAACCTATGAACCAACGGACTGTAGAGACTCCAGGGGGCGAGCGCACGATCTGCGCTAGATCAAAGTCCTGGGATCATGGGAGAAGAGACCTCAGCTCCTCCGGATCTTCCAGCTCCTACAGATCACTTGACAGTTCTCAGGACTTCATACTGCGGACTCCTCCTAGAGTGACGAAAAGACTCTTCATCGAAGGGTGAGAGGAGCCTGTGATCACTGTGATGCTTCGATATAAAGGCATTACTTATTTCCAGCAGTATAGCAGAGAATTGTGTTATCTAGGCTAGCGATGGAATTTCCTAAATATTAGCCTTTTATGGTACACTTTGGTACACACATGGTGTCACAATTTTTTTTAAGCATAGCCCTTAGGTTAGATGCCACATTAGGGCTGCACGATAAATCGCATGCGATATTTAATGCGCATCTTGTCAGAAAGCCGGTTCTGTAATCAGCGGTAAATCTCCATCACGTGCGTGCTTTCACATTGAGCAGCATTAACTACACAGAGCCGTTGTTCACTGACGAACTGCGCAAAAAAATCGCGCAAATATGAACGTGGTTTTAAATTGTATGCAGATGAAACAATGCCAGGATGGATAGACTTACAGTTTACAGTGGTGCGCTCAGTGCAAAGGTCCAAGATCACATGTCATTTTCATAACTCACAACTTTTAAAATGAAGAAGTTTTTGTCCATCAAATAAAGGTATATTGGTCTATAAGTTATTATAGTAAAATATATGGTTCTAAACCTAGCTGGCCTCTACTGAGTAATTAATTTGAGTTAAATTTGCAACCCAGTTAGCCAATGTGGCATTTAAAAATTGTTTTATTCATTCAGTTTATTTCATTTAATTCTTTTAAATACATGTATTTATTAATTTTTTTTTATAAATTTTTATGCATGTTTTTAATTTCATAAGAAATGTTACTTGAGCACAAATCAGCAATATTAGAATAATTTCTGGAGAATCATGTTGACACTGAAGACAGGAATAATTGATGAAAATTCAGCTCTTTAAATAGTAATAATGCAAAAACACTTCTTTGACACTAACCATTTGCTGTAAAAGAAAAAAAAAACTTTTATTTAAGGTCCTGTTCTGAACAATTTGTGGATGGTCTCAGAACAAATTTTTGGCTTTAAACCTTCTTTCTTTCCTTATTTCAGGGATTCGCCCACCAAGTTGGACAGAGAGGTTTTGTCAGCTTTAGGAGGCACAGACATTGACCCTCTGAAGCATCCCGGCATTCACAAATGGAAGAGCACAATTCAGGCATACTCCCACTTAGAAATGCAAAGGTAGGCATGTGGGTCATGTGAGAGTTATGTTACACTGCTGTCTAGTACATTACACAACCGTTCAAAAGATATGTTTTTTTTAATTACAAATCAGTCAGTCAACAATCGTGGGAGGGGCCTGGGTCTGTGTGACTTACATCAGGTCAGAATCTGAGAATGGCTTGATCTGGGAAAGGGGTTATTATTTTTGGGGATTTAAAAAAAAAAAAAAGCACTGGGTGGATTTTTATCATGGATGTGTACACTGCCAACACACATTTATGTTCAAACAACATGTAAAAGTGAATTTAGCATCCGATGACCCCTTTAAATAAATGCTGTTCTTTTGAAGTTCTGTTAAAGATAAAATGTTTTATCACTGTCTCTGTGGTAAATATGTGACCCTGGACCACAAAACCTGTCTTAAGTGTACATTTTTTGAAATTGGGATTTATACACCATCTGAAATCTGAATAAATAAGCTTTCCATTGATGTAAGGTTTGTTAGGATAGGACAATATTTGGCCGAGATACAACTATTTAAATATCTTGAATCTGAGGGCGCAAAAAAATCTAAATATTGAAAAAATCACCTTTAAAGTTGTCCAAATGAAGTTCTTAGCAATGCATATTACTAATCAAAAATGAAGTTTTGATATATTTACGGTACTTAATATCCTAATGATTTTTGGCATAAAAGAAAAATCGATCATTTTGAGCCATACAATGTATTTTTGGCTATTGCTGCAAATATACCAAAGCGACTTAAGACTGCTTTTGTGCTCCAGGGTCACATATATTAAAACAGAAAACATAATAATATTACACACTATCACTGTTTTTCCTGTATTTTGTATCAAATAGATGCAGTCCTGGAGAGTATAGGAAACTTCCTTAAAAAAACATTTTAAAAAAACCTAAATGACAACAACAGGCCTTTTTTAAAGATCGCTCTTGAAAACATCTTGTGACAAATATTTACGTGCGCTAAGAGGTCTGTATTTATGTTTTCAGCTGGCAGACTCCTGCGGTGTACAAGAGCCATTTGAGGGCTCATTCAGTCACCCCTGGCTCTCCAGCGGGCAGCTTGAAGTCCCCCGCGGGTCGCTTCAGTCCAGCCCGTCACATGAGCTCACTGGACGTCTGCAGCCCAGCACACTCCAACTACAGTCCCGTGAGCTACATCCAGCGGATCCGACTCAAACATTTCGGCGACGCCCCCATTTAACACATGCTCTCCATCCCATCCGGCCCAATTTCTACCAATTAGCTACTGAAATAATAAGCGAATATGGGGATGAAACGTCACAGAGGAGAACGGTGTCACAACGGAAGCCATGAAATGCTCAAATTGGACTCCTAGTGCCGTGCAAACCGCAGAAAGGATCTCGCAACAGGCCGTCCTTCAGTTTCTATGCTCCTAGGTTCGTAGAACACAGCTCAAATAATAATATGCACATCTCCCGGGGGGTTCCCGAATCATAATAGAAATAGAAATATTCGGTACTTCTGTGTATGATACCCAGTGTGTTGATCTGTGATGGTCGTATAGACTTTTTCTAAACTTTTTTTTGTTTTTTGTTTTCTATTTTCTTTCTTATCTCTCTGTGTGTGTGTGTGTGTGTGTGTGTGTATGCTTGGGAGATGTATCTGTGGAATTACAAAACTGTCTTGAATGGAAATGAACAATTTCCCACTTAACACAGTCATTTAAATTCGGGGAAAAAAGATGTCCATGTATAAACACAGAAACCCAGAGCTAAATTAAAATAACATAGTAAATTATTGAATTATTTTTGCTAGTTAACTGTCAGTAGCACAAAATACTAATTTTAATGGTTTTTAAGGTTAAAAAAGAAAAACGTCATCTGACTGCCAGGAGTTATTTTTATTCCTTGATTGGAGAACTGCCTTAAATTTCTAAAAGAAAAGACCAACTTCTGAATCTCAAAAGCAGGTGTTGATTCTTGCTTTGCTAATAGCAGCCTTAGGTGTTGGGGGGGAAAAAAGCAAGAGGTCTATAACGTATGAGTATTCCCCTTTTTAAGTTTAATAAATGTGATTTATCATTTCTATGTATGCATTTGTTTGCACTTTTAATTCTTTTTGGAGTTTGACAGTTCGTCGTGAGCAACAGATGAGACTCAGTTTGAGCCGTGCCACATTCAAGCACATGCAGAGTTGATGATCGATAACGAGTGTTTTGTTCCGTTAATGTCATAAAGACTTGATGATTGTGGATCCAGAGTGTTGTAAGTGCACTTTAAAGTGCCCCTATTATGGGTTATGAAAGGTTCATATTTTGGTTTTAGGAGTCCCCAACAACAGGTTGACATGCATACAAGGTCAAAAAACACTTTCATTGTCTTATAATATGCATTTATTTTTACCTTACTTGCTCAACGACTCCCAAACGATTCGTTTAACGATTCATTTTTCCAAACC